GGTGGGGTGCTCACACCCTGCTCGTCCCAGCCACACACATACAGCCCCCCATGCTTCCTTTCCATATCCCCCTCTATGGACACTCCGTGCTGGTGAGCGTGATTCCCACTCCAGGGAGCCCACCACCAGGGTGCTGGAAACTTGGACCAGCCCCTGTTAAATAACACTGAGTGGAGGAAAAATAGGGATATTGGGGAAAATAATAATAATAATATTAATAATAGTATGATTATAAGCAGAGGTGGGCACAAGCAGAGAGAGACAGAGGGAGTTTGTTGACATGGTTGCATATCACAGGGAGGCAAAGGCTGGGACCTGCAGTGACTGGCAGGGAGCTGGCTGGGGGATGCCGGGGTGCAAGGGGGACCTCTCTGTCCCTGCCATGCTGCCAGGATCACAAATTGGCCAAATGTTTGTGGGTTGTGTGATAAATCTGGTGGAAATCCAGATAAATCTGGTGGCTGGGTTAGTCCTAGCTTGCACTCAGCAGGCATCTGCAGCTCTCAGACACAAAGCTTGGGAGAGCTGCGGCAGATAAGCCGTGCCTAAAAGTAGCCAGTGAGACTCTCTCCCTACAGGAACATACGTCTTGCACCTTGCAGAACTATACGACCCAGGCAAAGGTGTACCAATCCAAGAGCAGAAACCCTTCACATCCATGCATTTGTATCTATACACATTATTCTATGTGTACAGATACAAGCAGGGAGGTGTAGATGCATCTGTGCATTTGCACACACATAGAGACAAATACAAGCATATACCCTATCTCTGCGAACACATAACCCAAACCAAGGGAAAATTGTTCACTGATTGCTTGTTAAGGGACTTGCTCAGGAAACCACAGTCAAGGAAAAGTGGTGGGTATGCCCAGATGGTGGAAACTATCCACATTGTTTACGAGATTAATATTAAATATTTTTAAAAAATGAAAAAGCAAAAAAACCCTGAACCATCAAGATCAGAGCAAGGCAGTCAGCTAGCAGTGCTGTTTAAAACAGATCAAAGCCAGACTTGGCTAATATATAGATCCATATATGAATTAGTGCATGTTAATGGCCCCCAAAAGGACATTACAAAAATGTGAATGTAGACTTATGACCCTGGAAAGACACAACAAATTAATAAATTATTCAAAGCTAAAAAAAAAAAACTGTCACAAAGGCATTTTTGGAGTTTGTCTTTCCCTATCAAGAACTGACTTTACAAAGATTTCTGAACACCTTCATCTACAATACTATGGCCTCGAGCAAAAATACAAGTAAAACAAGCCATAATTCAGGAGCTTCTGAGGAGGAGAACCTTTGACCTGAGCTGCGGACTTGGCATCCCTCAGACGCACAATTATCTGGGCCAGGCTGCTCCACTAATCCATACTGTACCTTTAATGCAATGATATTTTGCAACATCTAAAGCACCAGGTTGCAACATATATATCTATCAAAAGCTGGGGCCTGTTCTTGTTTGCAATACATATCAAAAACACAGGCCTGTTCATATGTTGATTGCCACAAATCACATTCCATATTTACATATATCTTGCTATTTTACATGCATTATCTGCCCATTATGCATTAGGATCCTATTCAACTTCCAAACAATGCAATATGAAAGGGTCTTACTGACACCCTGGCAGGGCTTTTTTCTTTATGCCCCATATGTCATACCCTTAAGGTTAGTAAAATATTTATCAGACATTTACGATAAGTGCACCTATAACTGCAGGTCACTGGACAATATGGATGGGGAACTTGCTCTCTAAAAGGGCAGCAGCCTGGTGTGTGTGTGTTTGAAAAATACGCCTTGGGTTTTGCCTTAGACCTCCAAACGCTCAGAATTTTCTTATGCCAATAATATCTATTGAGTTTTAATTATTTTAAATGGACTGGCATATGCCTTTATTTGGGTTTCATTCTGTATCCTTAAAGGTGGCGGTGAGAAGGCTTAACTCTCCCCTCAGAACGAGATTAAAAATAATAATCATTAAGGGATCCACAGCTCGATTCGATTATGCAGCCCAGGGAGGTGCAATCCGTGGGAGAAATAACGCAATCCATGTTTACTGGAAGTGAATTATTACTGCATCCCAGAAAGTGGGCTAATGTGAAAATCCTGTGTGTGCCTCGGTTTTTTATGTGGCAGTGTGTCAATAAGGGAAAGCTCTATATTTCTTCTTGCAGTCTATGGAAAAGAAATTATGTAAATAAATAACCATTACTGTTCAACACACTCCAGCCTTCCCCTTCGTAGTGGCGGGTATGTATTTCATGTTACACGTTCAGAAGAGTTTAGTGTTCAGAAAATATAGATGTAATCAGCTGCCACCTAACTAGAAATCAAAGTTCTTATTGCGCTGCAAATAGATTTATTGAATTTATGTTATCTGTCTCTATCTCTTCCTGGAAACGTTTATTTATGATGAGGAAAAGGTAGATACAGGAATTAATAACACTAAAGTTTGGCAGCAGGATCGTGGAGGGATGGGGGTGAGGGATAGAGGGGTGGAGGAGGAGGAGAGTGGAAGGAAGGGGAAAGTAGGTGAGAAAGGAGCAGGTTTTGGGTTACGACCCAGTCATTGGATAGTGTCCAGAATTTTACGGATTACATACATGCTCTCTGGAGCCCGAATGTAAAAACTACAACAGGAGAAACCCATGTCAGCTTTAAACACTTAGTCCTTAGCAAAGGAATTTGGACACAATGCCTAAAAATGTCTTTTCCATCAGTCAAAGTTAGTTTAAAAGTTGGATGACTTTGAGAAAGGCTTCCTATGAATTCCCCTCTGGATAAGCAATCAAAACAAGTTTAGTGAGAAGTTGAAATGTGCGGATGGGGGTAAGCGGTAGATTACTCCTGACAGCTGTATTTCCATTTTCTGAAATGCCTCGTGTGATCCTGCTCCAAAATAATATTATTGTTCCCTTCCTGAGCCTCATTCACTCTCAGTTCCATTGTGGAAAGGGGATTCTTCCCTCACAAGCGTCATTACATTTTTTTTTTAATATATGTAAATGAAGGGGTCCTCTAAAACCACTTACCCTGTTTCTAGCCAACATTGCTCGTTTGGGCAGGTTAAGGGGGGAGATTGGAGGGAGCAGAGAGAGAGAAGAGAAAGAGAGGAAAAAGTAAAATATCTCCTCAAACGTGTCCCCATCAGGGACAGCCTCTTTCTAAGGGCCTTTGGCTGGTAGAAAGGCCTGAGACACAGGCCAGCCATCTTCCTAGCTCTGCTTAGGAAGAATGTCTCAAGTTGGATCTGGAAAAAAAAAAAAAATAAGGAAAGGTTCTCCTCAACTGTCCCTGCGTATTGATGAGCACCCTGAAATGAATGGGAAGGGAAAGTCTGTGAATCTGCAGGCAGGCTGTGGAGTTAAATCAGCCTGATAAATGCTGGCAGGTCTCTTTGTCACTCTTGAAAAACATGTTTCCATCAAGAAGACTTATTATGATAAAATACATTAAAATGTCGATCTGGCTATTCAGTAAATCTTCCATTTGTTCTAAGATTTGCAAGTTATCCTTTGCAAAGAAATATTCCCTCCAACGCTGCGAGACTGCATTTGCACTGGAAGTAAAAGGGGGCAGTCACAGTACACGTCTCCGACCACCCTGCATACAAATTATATAGTCCTGTCTAAATAAATTATCTGATGTTCAAATCGATATTAATACTACATTTGCTACATTACAATATTGTGCAAATTTAGGAGTCATTTTAATACAATGTAAATACTATCTTTCATGCATGAAAGGCAACAAATATTGATGGATTATAAACTGCTCAGTGTTAAACAAGACCTTTGAACGATTTGCCATCTCTGTTCAGGAATGCTTTCAATTTTGCCCTGGCCTAGTTTTAAGTCACATTTATTGGAACTGTTTAGTCATTGCTAATTGAGAAGGTTGGTTTGGAAAAGAGGGGAGAAATGGGAACAAGAGAGGAGTTGGGGAGAGTGGGTATATAAAAGAAAAAGAAAAAAAAGGAAAAAAGAAAACAAGAAGAAAAAGTGGCAATTAGCCATATCATGGTGACAATTAGAATAATAATTAAAAAATTACACTGCCCAGTCTCTTATTTCACCTTGTTTCCACTTCCTATATTTTCTCTGCATAGTTCTCCTTTGATGTTTATAAATTCTCCCTCACAGGTTACAATAATAGTATACATATTATATTTTTATAGGCTACGACCAGAGCACTTCAAAGGCGACACTAATGCAACTTTCCCGCTAGTTAATTCGAACCATCTATCACAGGGAAAAATTGTTAACATGCATGTTTCCACCACCTACACTTCATTTGATTTG